TGGCTTTTAAAAATATTACTTGGACAGACAATTTGTCAAAGTACAAAAAGTAGCATTCCCCTAGTTTATTCAGTCATAGTCTGTTCCTGCACACCCCACTTTAATCAAAGGGAACTGCAAGTTGACAATAGCTCCACATAATTGAAACACTTCGTTGATGTGAGACCTCAAGTATGGAGGGACAAAACTGAGAATTTTAAAATCTTTAAGTCTTGCATTTGCCCTTTCAACATGTATGCGATATCTAGCAATTGACTTGGTTAACTTGGCCTCACTTTCAGTGAATTTCCCATGTTGAAGAAATGGTGGAATGTTCACAGACACACCCCTGGGAACAATGTCTTGAATGAGAAATCCTTTGTCTGCTAAGATTAGATCACCAGGAACAAACTGATTTAACAGACCCGACTGTTGGACAATCTCTTTGTCAGAAATGGATCCAGGGTAGAGGTCACTAATATAGGTCAACACCCCATTTGGTGCTACCCCTGTCAAAACTTTGAATTAATTCATTCCACGATATCTTGAATAGGTGAAATTTTGCTGACTCATAAGGCTTGGTGTAGCAACTTCAATGTCAGTACAATCAATGATTATTCTGCAGCTTGAGAACTCTGAAAATGATGATGGTGAACAGAGCTTGTTCTCGTTCTTGGAAGGAATCACTCTCATGAGGTCATCAAACAACAATCTATGCAAGACATGTACGAAGGTTATGACAATGTTTGAAATTGTTCCAACACTGCATGAAAACAGCTGTGCCAGGTGCATGTTGGTATAGTTTTGCCGTAACCTCTTAAGTGTTATGAAGATTTGATCCTTAAAGGTGATTGACTCAACTTTCCAACCACAATAATAAGATATGGAATCCCTGTATTTAGCCACATAATCCACTACAATAGTGAAGATCTCTTTTGTTGGTTGGCCAGTTTCCATTCTTATTACTTCAGAAGTCATCATCGAGACAGAGTAGTGAGTCTTTTGATACTGTATGGTGTCCTGTTGACTGCTCAGCTTTTGCTTTGCTAAGAGTAATTCTGCCTCCAAAATTATTTGCTCAGTTGGAGGGTGGTACTTTCATCCTGGGCTTCTGAAGACTCTGCTGGTGTTGTGGCACTAATACTGACAAAGATATCTTTTACTGCAGGTAACTTAGCCTCTGAATCAGGCTTCTTTTTCTTCTGCACTGGGGGTTCTTGTGAGTGGAATAGTTTATTGGCATTCCTCTTTAAAATAGTAGGGCCAATTGATTTCTTTCCATCTTTAAAAATGACAGCTGCACACTTTCGAGTACTTGCTGGGATCTCTATCAGCTCTCCTGAGAAAAGATTGTAATAATCCTTGATATGAGCGTAAAATAGCCCTATTTTATCGACCCATTTCTTGTCTTTCTAACGAAAGAGATCGCTCTGCTTCAATATAAAATTATCTAACAAACAACAGCAGAGGTCTGTATACTTTGAAAATCCCAGGAGTTGAATTCTTCAGAGTCTCAAGGCATATTTGGCGAGGGAAAAGTTTTAGATAACAAGCTTCAACAGCGACAGAATGTTAGCTCGTAAATACGAGAAAGGCCTTATTTGTTAAGTTAAACTTAGCTTATTATAGGTCACACCGATCAGTGAAGTGACAGGCAGCTTGGTCTTCTTTTATTCCACAGTACAAGTAACCGGAGTTTATGGACACTGATGCCCGGTATACAAGTCGAGATAAAGCATCACGATCAGCCCCCACGACAGCCAAAATATATGAAATCTCTACCTTTACAACCTCGAACAATGAGTGATTACTCTTTAAAAATTCACTCCCGTACCAGATTAAATTCGATAGAGAGAAGTTATTCATACCTT